GAGGACTGGAGTTGGTGACCCCTGATTTAAAATATATGACAGTTAAATTTTTATCATTACATTATGGAAAATAATGAACTTTATCACAATATGCTAATTTTTTGAGAAGGACCTGTAATCTGGCCCTTTAACGTCGTCATTAAGCCTTCTGCACATCACCACCAGGTGGTACAGTGAGCATTCAGTCAGGCTCAGCTCTGCTCTGAGGAGAAGTCTCCAGAAATATTCAACAATCTGATCCTCCTGATGGAAGCTGTAGTCTCTTTCTGTAGTATTTTAATAACAGTCTGAAATCCTGAAATGTTTCCTTTTTAATTTACCCATATGGCAATTATTATTAGTGAAAAGCAAAAAATATGTTCTTGCATCCACCTGAATAATGTGCAGTTGTGCCACTGACTACAGGTTAACAACAGCTTATGCCATTATAATGGCTGAACAAGTGCAGAGGCCTCAGACACAGCAAGTATCCATGTAGCCATTTATATCCCACATCTGTTATATCCATGTATTCAGCACAGGGGCTGCTACAGGGGCCTGGATCAGTCCTACAGGGTCACCGCTGCCCCATTGGCCCCTTTTGGCCCCTGTTGGCCCCTGTGTAGAACTGCCCATGCATTTACTCATTCACTCATTCACATACTGATGGTGGCAGGACACCACAGCTGCCCTGGGGACAGTCTGACAGTGGAGGCTGCCTTGCCTCGGCTCCACTGGGGCCTCTCACATCCAGACATGCTCTGAAAATGAACCTTGAACTTTTAAACCTCATGCCTTAAATGCTTGCTGATGAAATATGAAGGTGAAGCCTCATAATCGCAAGGATGAGTTTGTCAAAGTTTCACATACACAAAATGTTGACATCACACTGGTTGGTCCTTTGAGCTCCAGAACTGAGACTATGTACCTTCCTGGTGTCCATCCATGATGATGGATGGATGGAAGCTCTTCTTCTCTGGTTGACATGTCTGATCCCGGCCCGGTTCCTCTCACCTCATGGGGAACATCGGACCTCTCAATGGCAGCACAGCAGAGCTACCAGAATAGATTTTCTGACATATTTTAATTCTTCCTGAACATGTGCTTTCAGCAGCTCCCACTAGGGGGCATCACAGCAGATCCTCCATTGCCTTGTAGCTACCAAACTCTTGTTTTCCTGTTTCCTCATTTTCTGCATCTATGAACCTTTCCTGTGATCTTTTTCTGTTCCTGTTCCCTAACTAACACCTCCAAGTCCAACATCCTTTGATCAGCTTCTGATTATGGAGGAAATTATTATTCTCAGATCTTTCAAGCCTTTTAAAATGTATTGTTCTGAATATAAAGTGATATTTTCCTGCTTGTCATCGTTATTCTGAACGTAGATCCTGAGTTCAGGTGGATCCAGTGAATGTGTCTCTGCTGCTCTGACCCCGTGATGTGGAGGAAGGAGGCGGGTTCAGCTCAGTAAAACCAGCTGAGCTGAAGCTTCAGATCAGTCAGAGCTACGATGAGACCAACATGTCTACCAGCTTCACTCTGTGAGTACAAACACGTTAACATCTGCTCACCTTCTCATGGTTTATTTGGAATTCAGAAATCAGAGCATCAAAGAAAATGAGCACATTTATACATTTTTAAATATTCAGTTGACTTCCAAGTTTGTCAGATTTTAAGTCGTTTCAGTTCCTGATCAAATATTTAAAATTTTCTTCAGTTTTGACCTTCATGCTGAGTTGTGCAGAGGTTAAAGGTTGGTGTCTTTCTGTCATTTTAAAATCTTACATGTTCAGGAAAAATGCTTTAGAAAGAAAAGTTATTAAAAATATTTGTTTTGAACCATATTTCAACTGATCTCATGATCATTTTATCTCCAGTCCTCCCAGTTCGTCTGACTGTGAGTCCCAGCAGATCTCAGTTCTTTAGAGGAGAATCAGTGACTCTGATCTGTGAGGATGAAAACAGCTCTGATGGAGGAACTGTGAGGAGAAACACAACCAGGAAACTGTCTGAGTGTAAAGATGGATGGGGAGAAGCTGATGGTTCCTCCTGTAACATGACCTACATCATGCCAGATGATACTGGCCTGTACTGGTGTGAGTCCATGTCTGGATCCTCCAGCAGCAGCAGCAGCAGCAGCAGCATCCAGCTCTCTGTCTCTGGTAAGATCAGACTGTGGAGTTAGTGTTGCTGTGTGGAAATGGATGAAATGCTGTAGTTTGAGTCTGTGTTGAGGTGGATCAGTGATCCTGCAGAGTCCTGTCCTCCCTGTGATGGAGGGAGATGACGTCACTCTGAGCTGCAGAGCAAAGAGTCCAGCCCACAACCTCCCAGCTGCTTTCTATAAAGATGGCTCCTTCATTGGTAATGGACCATCAGGTCACATGACCCTCCTCCATGTCTCCAGCTCTGATGAAGGCCTCTATAAGTGCAGCATCAGCGGTCAGGGAGAGTCTCCATCCAGCAGGATCTCTGTGGAAGGTCAGAGGATGAAAATTAACTTTGGTTTTCACTAGAAATTGTTTGGCAATTATTTAATAAAAAAACTTTATTTTAGAAAAACCATCAACCACATCATCCCCATCATCTCCTCCTCCTCCATCATCATCATCATCATCTTCATCTTCCTCCCAGTTTCTCCTCTATGGTCTCTCGTCTCTATCAGCTGGTTTTGTTCTGGTTTTACTGGTTCTGCTGGTCAAACGTCACATTAAGAGGAAATCTAAAGGTGAGATTAATGTCTTATTAATTACTTTAGTGTGAGTTTTTATTTTTAAGCTCATATTTGTAAAAGTTGATTTTCTGTAGTTTTAACAACAACTAAATATCACTTGGTTAATTTTTTTTTTTTTCCAGATAATCAGGAAGATGGAGAGGAAAGCATCACTTACAGTGATGTTCAAATATTACAGAGGAAACGAGAGAAGAACAAACCAAACGGAGGTAAAATTGTTTTTTCTTGTATTTGTTAGTTTTCTTTTTCTACACATTGTTAGACTGATGGAAGCTAAAATACGATTTTCAGATTTTACCCATATATAAGACGATATGCAATGAATCATAACTAATACACTGCTCTTACAATGCATGTGTTTTTGCACATACATCAAATAAATAGTTTTACTATTTAAACTATTTAGAACATGAAAAATATAATTTATTGATGTCAATATTTTTTATTAATTTCTATTAATATATCAATTAACCTTTTTATGTAACATAATAAATTACTGTATTAAACTGATGTTTCTGC